AAGACAAAGTTGGAAAACTGGAGAGTAAGATAGATGGTGCTAGTCTTTTTTTTTTTTAATATATTTTATTTGTCAACGGACCTTTATTTATATGAGGTGCTAAGAAACAAACCAGTGCCTCACACATGCAAGCCAAGCGCTCTACCACTGAGCCACAACCCCAGCCCCCGGTGCCAGACTTTTATATCGCTATGGGATATAAGAGATTTCACACATCAGCAGCTGATGAGAGGGTGAAAGGAAGCTGAAAACACAGTAAGCAGTTCATCTCAATAAAACACACACAATTTAGGCAGTTACACAGGAATGTGAGCGGAGGCACTGGTACGCTGCTCACACAGGAGTGTGAAGAAATTATGCAAACCTAGATATAATGAATTTGACCGAAATTAGGAGAAAACATGAGAGATTAAATGGTAGAAGAGACTAAACTCCTGATAGAGCCGGTGTGCGTGGTGGGGGTTGGTGGGAGCTGTGAGTCTGATATAAGAACAGATGGATCCAGTTTCTCCAAAGATCACGAATGAATTTGGACTCCACCAAGAGGAGAAATGAATGAGGACAAGCCAATTACAGTGGTGTGTGTAATGGGTAGAATGCAAAGCCCATGTTCAGGTTCAGTGTTTCCTGAGATCTCACTGGGTGTCAAGTAGTGGGATAAAGTCCTTTTCTTCATATTTGGGACCAGGTGTCTGAGGATAAAAGAGAGGTGAAGCACATTAAAAACGGCATACTCTTTTTGGGCACGGTGCACGCCACTAATTCCAGTGGCTCTGGTGGCTGAGGCAGGAGGATTGCCCAAGTTTAAGGCCATCCTCAGTAATTTAGTGAGGCTCTAAACAGTTTTGCCAGACCCTGGAGAGGTGGAGAGGTGGTTAGGTGGTTAAGCGCCCCCAGTTTCAATCCCCAGTACCCCAAAAAACAAAAATAAAATTATAGTAAAAGGCACAACCAGTGCCTGGAGGAATGGGGGGCGGTGGTGAGTGAGTGCGCAGGCTATTTGGTGAATACTTGAATACATGTTAGTGCTTATCGGATTCTCAGGGTTGGCCTCGCGTTGTGAAAGTGTCACGGAAAAGTCAATGAGACCACGCCGAAGTCCCGGATGTTGGTCTCGACGTGGCCATGGAAGACCCTCGCTTTCTCAACTTCCAAGCGCAAAAGAGGCCTGATACGCATGCGCCTACCCGTCCTGGCGCTCAGTCGAAGGCGGCGGGAAGTTGGTTTTCCGAGCAGGAACTGAGCAGCATGAAAAAGGATTGGCGATGACGGACCAATAAACAGACGTCTCATTGGCTTAGCGTTCTCAGACTCCCAATCCTTTAGCTTCCCATTGGGCCTTTTAAGCAGGGCAGGGGCGTGACTGTCGGGGGCTGAGGAAGCGGGACGGAAGTGAACGGGTCCCGCCCCTTCCCCCTTGGCTTTCGTCGGAGCTGCCGCCGCTGCCGCCACCGCAGCCCGCTCTCCGGCTAGCCGGAGCCTCTTTTCTGTACCCTCGGTCCCCGGCCGCGCGGAGCCGGGATGCACTGCTCCTGCTGTGGGTCCTCATCATGGAGACCAAACGGGTGGAGATTCCTGGCAGCGTCCTGGACGATCTCTGCAGGTACTGCGCTGCTGCGGGTTTCTTCTCAGGGTCGCCAACCCCCGGGCGTCCTCCGCGCGCCCGCTTGCAGGTCCTCGCTTTCCTCTCCCGCCGCCGTCAGCTCTCCACCGCCGACTCTTCCCCGCCACCGCCCCCTCTCCGTTTCTGCCGCAGCCTCCCTGTTTCTCACGGCCCCCATCCTCCCGCGCTGAGCACGCAGTGTCTGGTTTTCTTAGTACCCGCACGGGTTTCGCTTTCTCGCAGTTGAAGCCGCTCGTCCAGAACCAGAGTTTTCTTTAGCATATTTTCGGCCCATTTCTGTCTGTCTCTTTTGGTTGCTGACTTTCACACACCGTTTCTCCTCTCCGTCTCATTTTCTGAATCTGTAGGACGCCCCCAGTGTATTGGGTCGTAGGGTCTCTGGTACCTGGACCCATGGCAAGGAGCAGTTTTGAAACTTAAAAACCTTTCTTCTGCATATTCGTCTATGTCAGTGGCATTCTCTGTACATTCCTAAAAAGAATTTATTATTCTCTCTTTCCCAGTACTTAAAAATCTTCGAGAGGGAGAGGGGAAAAAGTCGAGAGCTGCTTTTCTTTTCATCCCTTAATTATCTTACTTGAAAGGAAATTCTCATTCGCAGGGTTTTAACTCGGGGTACGTACACTTTCCCAGGAGAAATTTTATGCATTCTTTCTTGTCAGCTGTGGTTTCGGATAACCAAACACGTGTAAAATGTACTTAAAATACTTCTTCGAAGTAAAATTTTATGGTACTTAAGCGAATTGTCGTCCAGAGATGTGGATTGTGAAGTCATTTGGATTACAAGTGAGTAAAAGCTCTCATAAACACTTATGTACTTTTAATTATTGTACTTGTGTTTAAAGGTCAGACTCAGTGGTGTCGCATTCACGCTAATTTTTTTTTTAAATGCCAAGGAAAGAGTTTGTGGAGTTTCTACTGTGCTAGGTATTGGATGCTCCCTTCACATTTATCATTTTATTTAATTCTCGAAATAACCCTTTTTTGATAGGTGCAGTAATTTCCATTTTTTTTTTCCAAACATGCAGAGACTTGGTAATTTAAACACTGTCACATTCATCTTAATTCAGAAAATCAAGATATGAAACCTGTGCCTTTTCTTTTTCCAATAGTACCTGTGCTTTTTTCCCATACCAAGTCCAACATTTTGCACTTCACAAAAGTATACGTGAAGAATAAGTAAACTGGCAGCAGAATACAACAGACGCGAGTATGGCAATATGTAAATCAATGGAAGTGTAACTGATGTGATTCTGCAATCTGTATACGGGGTAAAAATGGGAGTTCATAACCCACTTGAATCAAAGTGTGAAATATGATATATCAAGAACTATGTAATGTTTTGAACAACCAACAATAAAAAAATAAAAAAAAAATTCAAAAAAAGAGTAAGTAAACTAATTTGTAACTAATAAGAATGTCATGTAATGGAAGATTTATATTTTTTGAAATATGATAGATGCAGGTGACCTTTAAAAGTTAAAAAAATGCTTTCTATGATCCCAAATTTGGTAAGAGAATTTGGTACATTTATTTCGATGAGGAGAAGTGCCCAGATCATAAATCAAAAGTGAGATAATAGGATTGTGAGCTTCATTTTCTTCATGTTACCAAGATTTTTTAAAGGATATTCATTTTACAGATAGAAAAAAATTAGAGAAGAGTATTTGGAAAGGTGAGCAGTTAATTGTATGTGGGTTAATAGAGGTAAAAGTTGATTTAGTTAGGCATCTAAACTAGTCTTCCTATCAGTATTGGGGTTAATATGGCCATTACGTGGGATTAAATCATTTAAAGAAGTGATAGGTCACTGTGATTCTATGTATGGAACCTGTTCACAGAATAAATGTGTTTTGTAAATAGAAGGTTAAATATCCCTTAAGTGTTAAATACAGATAGTTGATTTTCCAGTGAATGTATTTAAGCTATTTTCTTATACAACTCTTTGGAATGGTTTTAATTAAAAAAAGTTTTTTTTAAAACAATTACTGTTTGGATATATAAATTAAAATGTAATATATTAACAAAAAATTAGAGCTAACTAGTCTATAAACTAGTGACAAAACCAAATGGCCATTTCTTAATATTTCAGGTTTTAAAAATAATGCTTCTTGAAATGCTTTTGAAAGTTAGTATTTATACCTTTGTTGATGAATTTGAAGATGTTTTTATGTTAATAATTCAAACTTTTGATTGTGGTTTTAAAATAAATTTACACTTAGAATTTAAATTTTTCTGGGCTTTTTTTTGTTTGTTTCCTTTTTGGAATTGAGAATTAAACTTGGTGCATTTAACCATGAGCCACATCCTCAGTCCTTTTTGTTTTTTATTTTGAGACAATCTTACTAAGTTGCCATATATATAAATATAAATAAATATATAAATATATTTATATAAATGGCTTTATTTTGTTTACTTATTTGTATGTGGTGCAGAGGATCAAACCTAGTGCCTCACATATGCTAGGCAAGCGCTCTACCACAGAGCCATAACCCCAGCTCTTACTAAGTTGCTTTTGGCCTTAGTTGCTGAGGCTGGCTTTGCCCCCAAGTTCGTTAGCTTTTAGAGTCGCTGGGATGGACCATGCCCAGTTGTTAGATACCTCCTGAATTATAAATTCAAACCCCATTCTGTTCCTTAGCATTAGAGTGGGTTTTTTTTTT